AACTTATATATAGATCAATTTTGAATATTAATTTGTTTTATTTATATAACCTTCAACTTTACATATTTGTCTTGTTCTCCATCAAAAATGCTATTAAAATATATCTTTGCACGTGGCCGTAAAAAACTCATTTGATGTTTCGCAATGGGCAAGGCGTAAACAAACAAAAAACTTCCATCAGCATCACAATCAAAACTCAGCCAAACTTTCCGGCACAATCCCAACTATTGTGTTATGATATATGATGGACATGTGGGAGCGTTGTAAAGAGAGAGACAGCAAGAGATAGAGGGCGGAAGGGAATGCACTTGGAGTAGCAAACAGAAATAGTTTATCAAGTGTTTTATGATTCGTTATTGTTGCTGGTTAGTTAGTTGTGTGTGTGCGTGATAGTTAGAGAGAAATAGCAGGTTAGGCTTACGCTTACAGTAACAGTGATTACATTTTGTGTTATCGATAATCGGTTTATCGATTATTGTTATTAAGCTGTTATTCTGCTGCAGTGATGTGTATGAACAAATACCTATTGAAATGCTTGCGAAACGCCCCGCTCACAAAGTAGAGAGCCACCGGATTGGCACAGCTGTTGGCGAACGACATGCAAAAGCCAAAGATGCGCAATACATGCCAAAATGTATTATAATCCTGTTGGGCTGTCGGCCTGTAAACCGGAAAAGAAAACAATATATGTATCAAGATGCATGCATATTCTGTTTGCATGGAACTAATGGAGACATAATCCGGCGTCAACTCGAAAATTGATTGACCAGAGCGCCAAGGGTCACCGTCAATGGCCAATGGCCAATGGTCAGTGTCTGTCCCAGCATTACTCATACGCCGTGTGAGTTTGTGTGTGTGTGCAGGCAACGTTATCTGCATGACTGAGTGCCGTTCAATCGATGGTCGAGAGCACTACATGGCCAAATCCCCTTGGCATCCATCTTTGTTGGGGCTGCTCCTGCTCCAGCTCCTGCTCCAGCTACTGCTGCTGCTGTTATGTTGGATAAAAGTCAGCACTTACCAGTAGTAGAACCATAAAAAGAAGACGTGATAAGGCAGAAAGCAAATACCAAAGATAACAACAAATGCCAACACCGTGACGGCGACTTTGCGACGCGCCCGAACCTGCAAAATATTCAAATTCAATAATAATAAATCTGTTAGAGCCAAAATTCGTTTCCAATTGAATATTAAATTTCGTTTATTTATGCGAAAGGTGAGCACAATATGATGAAAGGCATATTGTAGTAGAAGGCTCACACAACAAAAAAAAAAAAAAATAAAAAACAGAAAACAATCATCCAAAATATTGAATTTATAGCGCAAGTCAATATTATTCCATATTATAAAATTTGCATTCAATTGATGGCGGCTGCAGAGATTGCGAAAATTGTTTTAAATAATTTACTTATTTTTCGCTGTCATTTATTTATCTGCTGAATTAATCGAATTTCAGATGGTGATTTGATAAAAGTGGTTGGTTATAACTGACTAGAATATACTCTGCAATCGTTCTAGTTTTTAGTAGAATTTCAATAGTGAATCGGATATATCATCTATTCATTATTTATATTGCCACATAATCAATCAATTCATTAGCTCACCTGTCGCACGGCGCCCTGCATTTCGCCTGGCACACTCGCCGAGTACATCAGATGCAGCGCAATCATGACGTAGAAGGCGGCGATGATGACCAGAGGTATAGCATAGTAGACTAGAAAGTGCAGCATGACCATCAGCTTGGCATAGTTCTCGCCCCAGGCATCCGGATACGGATAACAGATGACAATCGATTTCTCCGAGCTGATGCCCACGGGCTGTAAACATGATAAGAAAACACATACGCCCATTAAAACTCGGGTTCAATTACGTCTATACCATATCACCTTTAAGTTGCTGCCAATTAGCGCAGGTATGCCGCAGACAATGGCCAGCAGCCAAATGGATACAGCTATGGCCAAGGTCATGCGCGTAGCGCGTCGTCCTCCTCCTGCAAGAGACTCTTATTAATACAGAAAATTAGCTGGAGATTCCTTACATACCATGAGCATGAAACTTGCGCAGCGGATCGACTATAGCGAAATATCGATCACTTGAGAGCGCCGTCAGCGTAAAGACCGAAACTCCTATGGAAACATCTTTCATGAACTCCGACAAGCTGCACAGAAAACTGCCCCAGGGCCAATACTCGAAGGTGTAGACCGTTGAAACCAATGGAACTGTTGTCAATATAACCAGCAGGTCAGCCAGAGCCAAGGAAAGTATGTAGCTGAAAGGATAGAGGTGGGAAAAAGTGTTATAAATCATAAGGAAATATTAAAGAAAAATACAGGTTTATAAAAAATAAATAAAACAAAAATACAGGTTTAAAAAAAAATAAATAAAATAAAAATAAATAAATATAAATAGATCTAGATATACTTATGAGTTCAACTCTTACAATAAAACATACATATAACTAATACGAGCTCATGTCGGCTTAACCTAAACAGGTTTAACTAGGTTATAGAGAATAAATTGGTATTGAAATATTTATAGATTACTTTAATTAATATTGATATGATAAAAGTGATGTTGGAGTGTCAAAAATATCAAATCTCTTGATATGATATATTTGAGAAGGTCACAAGTCTAAATGCTCCGGTTTCTGAGCATGAAATGTTGATACATATGATATGATATGTTTGATATTGGAGTATCTTAGCTAGACGGACAGCCGGACAAAGAGTCACACAAATGAACAACGGATGACTAGATAGAAGGATAAGAAAAGTGAAAGAATGACCTGATGAAGGGCGGATGAACAACAAATGACTTATAAATAGATAAACATTTATATCTATATATGTATATATATAGGTAAACACCCAAACAACATGACTGACAAATTGACAATCGGACGGATTGGCAGAGGGTTGAGTCTTACATACAGACAAATCGACATATTAACGGACAGCATCGCATCGAATCGCCTGTTAATTCAGTTTTAACAATTTCTGCTCTGGGGCATAAGAAAAGAGAAATCGAATCATAATTCACTTTAGCAGCGCCAAACCCGAATCGGGAAACTTTTAAAGCGCATCGTGTGAGGGAGGAAGACCCTCATGAATACTCGGATACTTGAGCTAAGCCAGCTGACCTTTCGAAGACTTCGCCCATGGGTCGCCCGCACGTGTTTCGCTCTGTTGATTTATGTGGCTCGACTTTAGTCGAATTTTCGCATCCTTTGCCACGGCCCATGTAAAACAATTTCGTCTCGGCTCGCGCTGATAAAATTGATTTATATGACATTTTATTARGCATAGAAGAAGAAGATAAAAGTAAACATAAAAGAATGCCCAAAGTGCTTTTGACGTTTTAACAGGAAATTCTTACTACAACATTAGAATTCTTCTTTATTTATTTATTTATTTTTTTTTTTTTTTACATGTCAACAGCATTTTCATCAGTTTTTTTTACATTTTGAATTCTTAGTAAAAGTGTTTTAAATGTAAATTAGAAAATTTATATATTATGCATAGATGAAGATTGAGATAAGGTTTTTATGTATATAAAGAACAAAACATTTAAATTACAAAAAATTGTTTATTTATAGACAGGATAGAACATTTAAATTTAAGATTTTTTTTTTTTTTTTTTTTTTTTTTTTTTAACAAAAAAAAAATTAACAAAAAAAGCTGAAACTGAAGCATTTCCAATCAGATTGCTTTAATATTTTCGTTTGAAGACTTTAAAAATAGATTTAAGTGTAAATAAGAAGAATTTTATAAACGGAATATAAGCCATTTATATCATGGTAAAATATTAAATATTATGTTTTTTAAGCAATAAAAAAAGTGTAGTAAAGATTATAAAAAAACCAAAGTTATTTTTTATGCTAAGAGTACCTATTTATGTATTGGAACATATACTTATTACAAGTTCCTAGCTTCAGACATTACATAAAACTAATATACCCTTCCGTACACTTTTTGAAAGAGTATACGAGTATAATTTTATTTTATATGCATTAACTTTATCAAGTAGGGTAATCCATTACATCAGACTGCAGTTCGAATCCTTTTTAGAAATATATTTGAGCAGGAATATCCTGTAGCATCTATCACATTACAGCATTCGGAATCGCATCGCTTATTCAGACTATGAGCTCATGTTGTTATTGCATCTGTGTGTGGGGCACGTGTGAGTTTTGCAATGTTGCATGTGGCACGTTGTTTGTGCAACAGCAAATTACACTGCTGCGGCACGATTGATAAGCATCTGGCAACTGGTATTTGGGAAACGTCTGCGAGGACTCAACCGAGATTCGCCATTCCGGCCAACAGATGCCATTTTAGTTTAATGTGATCAGCTGACATTTCCGGCTGCCCTCGAGTAAACGACTTTTATATAAGAAACGTGAGTGCCCAATGCCCAATGCGCAATGCGTAATGCGTAATGCATTTGGCTTTTGCTTTCCCCCAACTCCTTCATCAACTTTTATGTCCCTTAGATGTCGCAGTTAATGCATCTACTTAATTAATTACTCGATAAACTGACTTGACATCGCATATATATTTATTAAACATATATTTATTTTAATGAAATCTTGTATTTATTTAATATATATACATATTTCTT